TCTGGATCTCACGGTGTTGCACTAACAGTGGAGACGGAGACCAGTGGGTTGTATTGCCATACAAAATAAAATAAAATAAATAAATAAATAATATGCGTATGTATGCATGACATGTAATTAAACATATGAGTATGCACGCTAAATCTATACGGCATGTTATATGCATGGACATATAATATATAATCATCACATGAAATATAAAATATGTAATCGGCTATTGAGACGAATTTGACCGGGTTCCATGGATAATTAAATTACAACCCAATTGAAAATAAATAAATGAATTAAAATTACAATAATGTACATCTGCTACATCAAAGGGCCTTGAATTTAATTCTTCGGTCTTCCATTTCATCTTCTTCGGGTCCGGACACTGTTTCTCCTCCATCTGAAACTCTTTCGGATCATCCACGAATCAAACAGGCACTGCTGGAGTTACTGGTAGGGGTTGTTGGGCGCTACAGAAATAGTATGCTGCAGCAATGTTGTAGCACGCTAGGAGCAAAAATAATATGATGCAACAATGTTGTAGCACGGCAAGAGCAGAAATAATATGTCGCAGCAATGTTGTAGCACGGTAGGAGCACGTTGGCGTGTAGCAGTGGCGCACTGGGCATGTTGGCTGGGCAGTGGCGGGGCGCGGCAGTGGCGGCAGCAAGGGTGGTCCGGCGGCAGGATTTTAATTTTATCACATAAAATTACAACAAAATCCTATACCCGAAGATTTACAAAATTTCTAATCGAATTGAAATTGTAAACGAATAATACCGATCCAGAGAACCATATAATTAACGACCAAATCCATCATCCATACATTCATGAAATAAGAAAATATAAACATCCATAATATATGCAAGTGCCTACCCATCATGTGCATACAATTTAAATATCACATATTTAATAAAGATTGATTATCACATAATCATGGCAAAAATTAATATAGTCTATAGACCGCTCCGATACCAATTTTTAGTTTTCGAAACGTTTTCGAGTGCGGAAGCGTGGTGGTGTGGATCGTGTATAACAAAAAAATTTCACAAAACCTTTTGAATACTCTATAAATTATATTAATCTCATTAAAAACATAGTTTCCTTTTTTCTTTTGGAAACAAAAATTGCTTCCATTTTGCTATAGGTGTGTCCGGCCATCTCCTAGGAAGGAAGGAGAAAATTCCTTCCTAATCTAGTTTTCGATTTTAAATTCAATTTCAAATAAAGTAACATGTTACTTTCCTTATTGAATTTAATTGGAAAAACTTGTCGAACAAGTAAACCGGATTACTTAGAGAGCAAGCAACTAAAATCCCGGTGAGATTTTTCCCAATATCACATATCCCCTGTGGTCCCACCACAATGTGACACAATAATTAAATAATCACATTATTTAATATATAATTAATTCTCAATTAATTATTCGCAAGTGAAATAAAATCCCGATAATTCATCTTGTCTTGTAAATAATACAAGGATGACGGGGGGACTTATGGACCTATAATTCTGAGCTCCAATAAAATTAATAATTAATTAAGCTCTTTAATTAAATAATTAATTCTATTAATTCCAAAAGTTACTCCACTAAAAACTTGGAATTGCACTCTCAAAATTATAGACATAATTTACTTCTAAGAACTTGAAGCGTCCATTTGATATAGTCACTACATATAGATCGATCCTCCATAAATAATTCATATTTAGAGCTAGGTAAAATCCGTTAACCTATCTAATCACATCTTTATCCTTGAGTACCATTGATTGTCTAATGAATAGTATATTCATAAAACACATTCATGAATACGAGCTCGTTACTTATTCAAGTACCGAATCAACCCTCAAGGAAATTATTTATCTGCTTCTTCAAAGAAGAAGGAATAGACTGCATCTTGTATTTTAGCATTCTCGGCTACCCATTTCATCATGTTCCCAAGATACAAGGAATAGGATTTAAGATCTCAAAATCCATACTGAGTAAGTCAACGAACACGAATCCACAAATAGGAGTCTGATAATAACTCAGGTTTAAGATCATTCTACATATGACCATCAGTAGACTCAAACTTGATTTTCTATACTTAACAGAAATTATCAGAAAATCAAATTATGTATGTGTCCCAGTTCTACATAATCTCATTTTGCATAATACACTCATTCAATATACCTCTATATTAATGATGTGGATAACATCATTCTATTTTTAATGGGAAGACATGTATTAGTAATGTTTTAATTAAAGATTCTGAAACTTTAATTAAATTCATTACGAACATTACTTCGATTATTATCCTTAAATATTATCCTCTCGTATATAACACTTATATACAATATTTAAGGTTACATAAATAATCACGAAGTTTTTAATGATATTCATAAAATATTCAATAATACATGCACATAAATAATGAATAAATTATTTTAGTAATCAAATAATAAAATATTCTTATTACATCTCATGTTTTATGGACACATATCCCAACAATAAATCTCATGGTAATCACTGTTTTTGAGAATCTAAAAATTATGATTCTTGTACTAAACATGGTAATATTATAAATTCTCAATCTCATTCTTAAGATTACTGCATATTAAACGTCACCTTAAGACAAATATCTATTCTTTATTTTTTTTATTAATATCTCTTTTACTCAAATAATTTTATTAATTAAAAATAAGTTGACTTATGTACTTTAAGGTTAATTTCTAATTTTTTTTGGAAATAATATCGCTCTGCACTTGGGGCGTGCACTTGGGGCCCTTGACATTACAATCGGCGAGGATGGAACCCACATGAACAACAACAGACAAATCACTCATTTTGGGACCCACAATATTAAGGAAAATTTGGTGAGGCCTTTTGCAACTTGCATGCAGACCCACAAGACAGAGCCTCCCATGTACTCTCTTACGGCTTTCCACAGAATTCTCCCACGCCACCAAGTTTTGGTATATATTATGCACAGAAAAAAACATAGACCACAAGTTAAAAAAAATGGAAAAGAAAAGGGGAAATAGCGAAAAAAAAATAGTTCATATAAGGTCGGCTTCTTTTGTTCTATTGGATTTGGACCAAACAAACAGGACAGTTTTAGCCACTTAAAGCTGACAACAAACTAGGCCGACCTCTTAAATATATTTATGGAGTCAGAAATTTTTATTAGTAAAGATTAATATTTAAATAAAAAATTTAATCAAAATAAATATATGTTAATGCACTACAAATGGAATATTAACATTAATTTCAGTGGAAACCTATTAATACTAATATAATATAGTGTCTAATTATATATATGAAATTTAAAAGGAAAAAAGATTGACTATGTGCTTGATACTTAGGTACTTGAAGTTTAATAAAAAAATACTGTAATAATAAAATTTAAATTTAAATTTTTTATGAGAAAAAATATTATAATAAAAAAATTTAAGTTGTGATTTGAGTTAAGGAAATGACGGATAGTCTTCATAAGAACACTGCAAGAAAACTATGATATTATGTGGCTCAAATCTTAGCCACTATAAGAGTTAGGATAGAAAGAAAAGAATGATTTGAATCAACGGCACAGAAAAAACTTTTAACGGATCATATTGGATGTATTTAGAGTTGTTTTGTTTTTATTTTTCACGTTTTTTAAAAAAAAAAAAAAAGGGAGAGAAACGGCGTTTGGCACAATTAAAGACAAAAAATAAAAATAAAAATAATTTTTTAATTTAGTGTAAAATATGAGAGAAATAAAAAAATGACTTTTAATCATTTTTCATTTTGAAATGAGTTTTAAACGCACCAATTATTTTCTTAATTATCAACGGTCCTCAATAGCAATTCTGGAATATCTCACAGAAAAAGCTCCAAATTGAAATTTACATAATTATTGGACCACCAAAAAAAAAAAGTAGAAGGAAATAATCGAACCAAAGAAACCCTTAAGTTCGAGTCCAACTTTAATAATGTTTATTTGGTTAAAAACGTGTTTTTTTATTTGCTATTTTTTTTCTAATAAAAAATTTTATTTACTAGTTTATAAGGCTAAAAACGTGTTTGACGGGTCAGAAGTTGACAAATTTTATAGTACTAGTACTTCATAGGAGTTATCCACGTCCAAATCACAAGTGTTAACAAAGGCTAGATCCAACTATTTACGTTTGTGGTCCAATGTAAACCTAACCCGCGCATGGTAAACAGGTCAATCAGACAATTTTTTAACGACAGTGCAGTTAACCTTATTTACAAGCAATTTATCAGCTGTTAAATGATGAAAAAATTGATCTCGACGATGTCAGGCAAGACCCAACAACAAATAAAACCTAAAGGGCCTCCAATCTTTCATCAATTATTAATCTTATTAAGGAAATTCTTACCATTTTACGGTAAGAACTCATATTTTATCTTACCGGTGCAAAACTTCGTATTAATTGTTGAATTAATTTTTCAATAATCAACTCAATAAACATGCAATTAAAAAATTCACAACGCTAACATAAAACTAAAACTGTTTCTACTCACATATCAAACCATTAAAAAGATAATCAATCGACTAAATAATACTTTCTACTGAAAATGATAAAAATAACAATTCCTACCATAGAAGTTCTCTTACATGCAAAATTTTTGTTGCCATTTTTTACTACTACTAAAAAAAAAAAAAAAAAAAAACTCTTTCCAATAATGTAAGGACAATAAGATGTATATAAACCTGAAGCTTATCGTCATTTCCCTACTAATTCATCAGTCAAAGATTGCTGCTTGTTCTTATCTGGTGAACTCTTATCTTTCACCTGTTTGAATGTTAAAATTATACCTTTAAAAACTCTTATAAAACAATAAGGTCTCGTTCAGTTTATGAATTTGAATTTTTAATTCGAATTAAAATGTGATTTTATATAAAAACTTTTTACAATAGTAGAAAAAGTTATATGTGACTTTTTGTGAGCATTTTTAATTATAACACAATTAAAATTAAAAATTTGAATTAATGAAATAAAAGAGGTCTAAAGTAAGAAGAAATCCCATATTCAAATTTCATCTTGTTTCTATTTCCTTGCAAATAATAAATCATCCCTCATGCCCATGTGGACAATAGTAATGTTGTAAAGATAGAAAAGAATGTAAAGGAGGGGAAAAAAGTGTGATGATGATCTAACTATGAGCTTCATCACTGATTCCCTTCTTTTTTTTCTTTTTTCTTTTTAATCAACTAACAAAGTGGATGAAGAATTCAAATTAAGGAATTAAAGTTAGTCCCTCCGCAAGATGTAATTGTCAGCTAAGCTCATTGATCCCATTAAGACCATCCAAAAATGGATTCATGGTATAGACTTCAAGCCCTCTTGTCCGTCCCGGAGCACCGCCTTTCAGCGATGACGCGTCCAAGACAATCCTGTTCCGCAAAAATATAGACTCAATTAAGTCGATAATCAAATCACTAGCACTAGTAATGCACATTGAGCCAAAAATCTTACGAGTCCTTTGACCCTTTCTCCAATTCAGGCGTTCTGCAACTTATGATGATTTTCTGATCAATTTTCGATATTGAATGATCCGCAGGTAAATCAACCCATTTAGTCACTGAATCAGAATTCCACGTTTAGTTTCAAGTTTACTCCATATAATGAAATAAATCACAAAATAAAAATACGTCTCGTTCATTTCACCGTTTCGAAACACAACTCAAGTTTTTGCTACCTTGTTTTCTCTCACAAAAATTCAAATTTAACTTTTTGTGCTACAATAATTTATCTGACATAAAGTCACTTCTCTCAAATCGGCAAAACGAACGAGGCCATAGCTTTTAATTGACCGAGATCTTACCTGTTTCAGTGGCAGCATCGGTACTTTCATCAAGCCCCAAGATTTTCTACACCAAATGAACATGGATTAAAAGCTTTAAAAGTAAAACTATCAACTCGTCGGGGAGAGAATATGTAAAGTACTAGATACAACATGAATTAGCAGAATGCAACAAAATGCAGCGGATTAATACTAATACCTTCAGACTTTTGTAACATTCCTCGAGATCATCATTATACAAGGTGTGATCAAAGACGCCAGAAGATTGCCCTTGCTCAATCTCCGCCTTAGCATTGCTGAGTCGCTTTTCGACTTGTTCCTCAGTTTCCGTTCCCCTGCAAGAATGTTCATGTTGGAATGAAGATATGGCGACTTGAAAACAAAAAAGATCCAAAATAGGCATCTCCAACTCACCTAGCACGAAGGCGCTTCTCTAGCTCTTCCATTGAAGGTGGACATACAAAAATAAATATAGCTTCAAGAGAACTAGCCCTAACCGACCTCGCCCCTTGAACATCAATGTCAAGAATGCATCTCTACATCCAAACCAAATGTATCATTTCAAATTCACAAGAGAGAAAAACCATGACACCTTAAATTCACTTTGTTCAGCATTAGCATAGTGATCAACAAGTTATCATTCAAAACACATAAGATAGATAAATATTAACCTTCCCATCATCTGCTACCACTTCAACAGCTTCAACACTAGTCCCATAGAGATTCCCATGGACGGAGGCAAACTCGAGGAATTTTCCATCTTTGATCTCTTTCTCCATCACACTCTTCTCTGTAAAATGGTAGTGTACCCCATCTTTCTCCACGCCCCTCAGAGCACGGGTTGTGTGGCTCACAGAGAAACCGAACATGGATGGGAACTCCTTCATGAGCATAGATATCAATGTGCCCTTACCCACCCCAGAAGGACCACTAATAACAACTGGCTTCTTAACATTACCCCTAACTCCCTTACTCCAAGCAACGACCTCAGTCCCCAAAATCTTTTTCTGCTGCCTCACATATTGGGTATCCACCTAACAATTGAGAAGAAAAATTGAATCGTTTACTTTAAATGAATAGAAAACTAAATGTTCCGTTGTGATCAATATAGATCGTCCTCAGTAACACTTTATTTCTTTTCAAAAATGAATGAAGGGTTTAGATCTTCTATTTCTATTGCTTAAGAGCATCTCCACTTTTCTCACATTTAAAAAAGAAAAAACAAATAATAATAAAGTGCTACCACGCAAGGCCATTCTTCGAAAGGAACATCCACCGAAAGGATTTTGCTTGTTCTCCATATCACTTATGGGCAATCTATATCAAATCTTCAGAGTTCTTTTAGTGTCATTTTTATTGGGTCCTTTATTTTACATCATTAGTCTCAAACCTAAAGTATGATTTTGTCCCTTCAGAAGCAACAAAGTTGGTGAAAAAGTTGAGGGCATTTTCTCCCTTTAATTTTTAGGTTCCAAAATACCAACCTCAAGAACCCACGCAAAATCATCTGGGGTTGAACCTTTCTTGAGAACCAATATCCGGTCTTCATTCAAAAGCACAGCTGAAAAGCCTTTTCCTGATTTAGGCACTGTCCCCAACACAGTAGGGTATACCCTGCAAATTCAACAAGAGGTTTAGGCCCTGATCTTTTCAGGGTTCGAATCACATTTAAATTTTTTTTCTTTTTTACCGTGTTAAATTTAAATGTCAACAAGTTTTCTACTCGAAAAGTAAATAAAATCTACAAAACTCACCATTCTCCGCTCGATTGGTCAAATATCTGAACCCCAATGGACAATGCTGACTCGGTAGAGTTTCCACCAATCAAATACTGTCAACAAAAACAAAAGTCCATACAATTTTCTGGTAAAAAAAATACCAGATAAAAAACAGGACATCTTTTTTTCCGTTAAAAATTTATCATATCAGCAAGCAATGTTGGATTTGTCATACTGTTTTGTTGCCCACAACAATGGTCGCCGTCTCACAGCCGTTGGATTTTAGATCAACCCCATTTGGGAATTCCTTCTTAAGGTCATCAAGAAAAAAAACTGGTGCTTCTCCCTATAAAATGAAATTTGCCACAAACCCAATAGAGATCAGGAAAAAAAAAAAAAAAAAAAAAAAAAATTTGGGAATTCCTTCTTAAGGTCATCAAGAAAAAAAACTGGTGCTTCTCCCTATAAAATGAAATTTGCCACAAACCCAATAGAGATCAGGAAAAAAAAAAAAAAGAAAAAAAGAAAAAAGGAACCCTTTAAAAAACAACAATAAAGAACCCATTTTGATCCATACAAATGTGATCCCTTTATTGGTAAATGTTATTGTTTCTAATACTTACCATGGATATGGAGATATCTATTGTTGAAATCTAGATTGCCCTGTCCAATAAAGATTGAGAAAAAAAATGGTCAGAACAAATTCTATATATTCCGGATCTGGAATATTGCATCAAGATGATCAGACGCTAAGTATTGTCCAGCAGAATGAAAACAAAATGCAAACTTCCAACAAGAGAAAATCAAAAGAAAAAGGTTCATGAATCAAAACCCATATTCCCATTTAAGCTTGTAAATACAAAATAGAAAGATAGAAACAACAACAACAAAAGAACAAGGCAAGAGAAAAACATTAAAAAAATTAACCTTTATTCAGAACCTCCTTGAACCCACGCGAAACAAAATCACATGCAAGAGAATATTAAAAAATGACAATAATAAAAAAAATTGCATTTTTTTCCATCTGAAAAAGAAAGACCCCAACTTCATATTACGGATCAGAGAACTAAGAAAGAAGAAATTACAATAAATAAATATATATATATATATATATATATATATATATATACCTTTAATATGAGCAAGGCTCGAGTAAGGATACAAACAGTTCTTGAATTTTTTTTTTTTTACTGCGTCTTCTGTTTTTGAAGCTAGTTTGTTTGCGTTTAAAGAAAGAATCAGAGAAAAACAAAGTTGGGATGGAAAAATCCAAAGGGTTTTTGTTGGCAAAGGAAGTTGGGAGCAAAGCCGAGAAGAGTTGTCATATTTGTAGGCGGTCTAGGGGAGAGGTAGAAAATTCTAGTTTAGAGAGAGAGAGAGAGAGAGAGAGAGAGACAGAGAGAGAGAAGGAGAATGGGGCTTTTTGGTCGCATTCAATTTGCAAACCAGGAAGATTAATTTGGGTCTATTTAGTTCGTTAATTTAAATTTTTAATTTGAATTTAAATATAATTTTATATGAGAATTTTTTATTTTAATAAAAAATTTAAATGTGATTATTTCTAAATTTTTTTTACTATAATAAAATTAAAATTCTAAACTCAAATCAGTAAAATAAACGGAACCATAATTTCTCCCCAACGCTTCAAATAATAATAATAATAATTAAATTAGACGATAGGGTATTAAAAAAATCAAATACCTTATTATGCTATAATAATAAAGTAGGTAGTTGAACAGTGTGCTGATGTCCGTATCATTTTTTGATGAATATTTTTTTTTATGAGTTTCTCTATTTTTCATTCTTAAAAAATAAAATAAAAATAAAGTTAAAAAATTTTGAAATTTTACAAACATGAATGTTACATTTTTCTGAGCATGCGTGCAAAAAATGACCTCAAAAAATAAAAAAATAAAAACGTTGTATTTTGTAGCGTTTTACTTTTTTTATTTTTTGAGCCCATATTTTGTAGGCATGCCCTGAGAAACGTAAGGATCGCATCTGTAAAATTTTAGAATATTTTGCAATCGTTTTTATTTTATTTTATTTTTTAAAATGAAAAATTGAGAAAATCATAAAAAAAAATAGAATATTCATTAAAAGATGGTATTGTTTGTTGCATAAATTTCTAAATATTGTGTATTAATTTTAGAGTGCAAAACATAAATAAAAATGTAACTTTTTGATCCATCTCGGCTGCTGTGCAACCCACTGCGCGAGCCGAATGCTTTTTAACAGCGTTTTTCTTTTTTCATTTTTTGAGGCCATTTTTTCCAGGCACACTCAAAAAAATGTAAAGATTGTGTCCGTAAAATTTTAGAATTTTTGATGTCTTTTTCATTTTATTTTATTTTTCAAATACGAAAAATAGAGAAAATCATAAAAAATAGAATATTCATCAAAAAATTGTGCCGCTTGTTGCATTATTTCTAAAAAAATCATGTATTAATTTTAGATTGCAAAACATAAAAGAAAATGTGAATTTTTTACCCATCCCGGCCCCTGGCCTCCCCACAGCGCAGGCTAGGGGGTTTTTGATAGTGTTTTTTTTTCATTTTTTAAGGGTATTTTTTGCAAACATGCTTAGAAAAATGTAAGCATCGTGTCTGTAAAATTTAAAATTTTTTTGAAGTCAATTTTATTTTATTTTATTTTTCAAAGTCAAAAAATATATAAAATCATAAAAAAACAGAATGTTCATCCAAAAATGGTTGTTGCATTATTTCCAAAAAAAATTGTGTATTAATTTTAGATTGCAAAACATAAATAAAAATGTGAATTTTTAACCCATCCCGGCCCCTGACCTCCCCACTGCGCAGGCTGGGAGGTTTTTTACATCATTTTTCTTTTTTCATTTTTTAAGGCCATTTTTTCAGGCATACTCAGCAATATGTAAGGATCGTGTCCGTAAAATTTCAGAATTTTTGACGTCTTTTTTATTTTATTTCATGTTTCAAAGACGAAAACTAGAGAAAATCATAAAAAAAAAACAGAATATTCATCAAAAAATGGTGTCGTTTGTTGCATTAATTCCTAAAAATCGTGGATTCATTTTAGAATGCAAAACATAAATAAAAATATAAATTTTTGACCAATCCAAGCACATGCGCGCCCCACTTCGCAAGCCTAGGTTTTTTCACAGCATTTTTCTTTTTTCATTTTTTGAGCCATTTTTTGCAAGCATTCTAAGAAAAATGTAAGGATTGTGTCCGTAAAATTTCAAAATTTTTTCAGGTCGCTTTTATTTTATTTTATTTTTCAAAGTCAAAAAATAGATAAAATCATAAAAAATAGAATATTCATCAAAAAATGGTGACACTTGTTGCATTATTTCAAAAAAAAATCGTGTATTAATTTTAGATTACAAAACATAAATAAAAAAAAGAGAATTTTTAACACATCTCGGTCCCTAAGTGTCCTACTGCGTAGGTCAGGTGGTTTTTTATAGCGCTTTTCTGTTTTTATTTTCTGAGGCCATATTTGGTAGGCATGCTCTGAAAAATATAAGGATCGTATATGCAAAATTTTACAATTTTTTACAACCGTTTTTATTTTATTTTATTTTTTAAAATGAAAAATAGAGAAAATCATAAAAAAAATAAAATATTCATCAAAAGATGGTGTCGCTTGTTGGATTAATTCCTAAAAATCATGAATTAATTTTAGAGTGGAAAACATAAATAAAAATGTAACTTTTTCATCCATCCCGGCCACTGCGCGGCCCACTGCGCGAGCCAAGGGCTTTTTGACAGCGTTTTTCTTTTTTTATTTTTTGAGGCCATTTTTTCCAGGCACACTCAGAAAAATGTAAGATTGTGTCCGTAAAATTTTAGAATTTTTGATGTCTTTTTCATTTTATTTTATTTTTCAAATGCAAAAAATAGAGAAAATCATAAAAAATAGAATATTCATCAAAAAATGGTGCCGCTTGTTGCATTATTTCTAGAAAAATCGTGTATTAATTTTAGATTGCAAAACATAAAAGAAAATGTAAATTTTTTACCCATCCCGGCCCATGGCCTCCCCACAACGCAGGCTAGGGGGTATTTGACAGCATTTTTTTCATTTTTTCAAGGCATTTTTTTACAAACATGCTCAGAAAAATGTAACTATCATGTCTGTAAAATTTTAAAATTTTTTGAAGTCGTTTTTATTTTATTTTACTTTTCAAAGTCAGAAAATATATAATATCATAAAAAATAGAATATTCATCCAAAAATGGTACCGCTTGTTGCATTATTTCAAAAAAATTATGTATTAATTTTAGATTACAAAACATAAATAAAAATGTGAATTTTTGACCCATCCCGGCCCCTGGTCTCCCCACTGCGCAAGCTAGGAGGTTTTTGACAGCATTTTTCTTTTTTCATTTTTTAAGGCCATTTTTTCAGGCATACTCAACAAAATGTAAGGATCGTTTCCGTAAAATTTCAGAATTTTTGACGTCTTTTTTATTTTATTTCATTTTTCAAAGACGAAAACTAGAGAAAATCATCAAAAAATAGAATATTCATCAAAAAATAGTGTCGCTTGTTGCATTAATTCCTAAAAATCATGGATTCATTTTAGAATGCAAAACATAAATAAAAATATGAATTTTTGACCAATCCAAGCACATGGGCTCCCCACTTCGCAAGCCTGGGTTTTTTCACAACATTTTTCGTTTTTCATTTTTTGAGCCATTTTTTGCAAGCATTGTCAGAAAAATTTAAGGATCGCGTCTGCAAAATTTCAGAATTTTTTGAGGTCGCTTTTATTTTATTTTATTTTTCAAAGTCAAAAAATAGATAAAATCATAAAAAAATAGAATATTCATCAAAAAATGGTGCCCCTTGTTGCATTATTTCAAAAAAAATCGTATATTAATTTTAGATTGCAAAACATAAATAAAAAAGTGAATTTTCAACACATCCCGGTCCCTCAGTGTCCTACTGCGTAGGTCGAGTGGTTTTTTATAGCATTTTTTTGTTTTTATTTTCTGAGGCCATATTTGGTAGGCATGCTCTGAAAAATATATCGATCTTATATGCAAAATTTTAGAATTTTTTGCAACCTATTTTATTTTATTTTATTTTTCAAAATGAAAAATAGAGAAAATGATAAAAATAAAATAAAATATTCATCAAAAGATAGTGTCGCTTATAGCATTAATTCCTAAAAATTATGTATTAATTTTAGAGTGCAAAACATAAATAAAAATGTAACTTTTTGATCCATTCCGACCGCTATGCAGCCCACTGCGCGAGCCGACGGCTTTTTGACAACGTTTTTCTTTTATTATTTTTTGAGGCCATTTTTTCCTAGCATACTCAGAAAAATGTAAGGACCCTGTCCGCAAAATTTTTGAATTTTGATGTCTCTTTTATGTTATTTTATATTTTCAAGACGAAACATAGAGAAAATGATAAAAAAGTAGAATATTCATCAAAAAATGGTGTCGCTATTTTTATTAATTCCTAAAAATTGTGTATTAATTTTAGAAAATAAAAATGTAAATTTTTTACCCATCCTGGCCGCTGCGCGGCCCACTGCACGAGCCGAGGGCTTTTTGACAGTGTTTTTCTTTTTTCATATTTTGAGGCTATTTTTTCCAGGCACACTCAGAAAAATGTAAGGATTGTGTCCGTAAAATTTTAGAATTTTTTATGTCTTTTTCATTTTATTTTATTTTTCAAATACAAAAAATAGAGAAAATCATAAAAAAATAGAATATTCATCAAGAAATAGTGCCACTTGTTGCATTATTTCTAAAAAAATCATGTATTAATTTTAGATTACAAAACATAAAAGAAAATATTAATTTTTTACCCATCCCGGCCCTTGGTGTCCCCACAGCGCAGGCTAGGGGGTTTTTGACAACGTTTTTTTTTTTTTTCATTTTTTGAGGTCATTTTTGGCAAACATGCTCAGAAAAATGTAAGGATCGTGGCTGCAAAATTTTAAAATTTTTTGAAGTCGTTTTTATTTTATTTTATTTTTCAAAGTCTGAAAATATATAAAATCATAAAAAACAGAATATTCATCCAAAAATGGTGCCACTTGTTGCATTATTTCAAAAAAATTGTGTATTAATTTTAGATTGCAAAACATAAATAAAAATGTGAATTTTTGACCCATCCCGGCCCCTAGACTCCCCACTGCGCAGGCTGTGAGGTTTTTGACAGCATTTTTCTTTTTTCATTTTTTAAGGCTATTTTTTCAGACATACTCAGCAAAATGTAAGGATCGTGTCCGTAAAATTTCAGAATTTTTGACGTGTTTTTTATTTTATTTCATTTTTCAAAGACGAAAACTAGAGAATATTATAAAAACATAGAATATTCATCAAAAAATAGTGTCGCTTGTTGCACTAATTCCTAAAAATCGTAGATTCAATTTAGAATGCAAAACATAAATAAAAATGTGAATTTTTGACCAATC